TAATGGATATTTTACGCAAGGAAGCTGATATCGCCATGGCTGAACACAAAGAAAAAATGCGTAAGCAGGAAGAACAACGAAAACAAAAAGAGGAAAAAGAACGCAAAGAGAGGGAGGCCAGGGAAAAGGAAATGTCCCAAAGTAAGATTTGTGATATCACCGATGAGGAAGCTGCCCAAATTATCAAAGAAGAGGAAGACAAGTGAGTTACAATTTGAAGTCATTTAAAATACACAAATAATGTATCATGCTGTTTGTGGTAATTTTAAACAGGAAACGTCAAAAACTATTGGAAGAAGCTGCCGCAGCTGCTGGTGGCACTGCTCCTGTAGTTGTCGAAGAAGAAAAATCCAAACCCATTGACAAGGTTGAAGATGAAACCGAAAAATCAGAAGTTGGCAAATTATTGCCCAATGCCGGTAATGGTTGCACCTTGGATAAATATATGTGGACACAGACCCTGGGTGAAGTTGAGGTAAGTAGAAAGGTGGTTATAAATCGATACTTGTTTTGTCGTTTTTAAATTTGTCGATGTTTTAGATTATGCAAAATATATATGTATTGATGGTCATCTAATAATTCTAATACGGCCTTTTAACGCCCTTCTTTCTTGTTTGATCAAGCCTAATTGTGGAAAAAATTGAGATAAAATTCATTGCATGAGGAGTTTAAAGCATATAGATGACATATATCGTACTGCGATATTACTAATTTTCTAAAGAAATTGACTGTATTTGTTGCACTCGAAACTAATTTTAAGTGGATACCCAAACGCCATTTTGGGAATTAGCAATGTAAGAATTCTTTTGGTGTAAAATCCTATTATAACTATCGTGTGATTTCAGTTATTTTCGCCTTTTAAATCAGAGATTTTATAGAATTTTGTATTTTTTGGGTACAAAAGTTCTTTGTAAGGAATTATCAAAGGAGTTACTAGACCACCTCTAACAACTATTAATCGGAATTCGTAATAGATCAGACTTTGAGATTTTCGGTATAAAAAACATGACGTATCCATTTTACTGAATTGTGTATATGTAGGAGAATGCATCTATATCGATTATAATCGTCTATTTATCAGAAGCTTTTAGCAGTAATATTAATTTGGAAGCTTTTTAAGTCTTCTATTATAAAAAAGTTCACCAAAAGGTCTATCTACTTATCGAAGCTTCTCTTTGGCCTCCATTTATTCCAGAGTAATTTTGAATTTTTTTACCTTAAAATTTGTCCGGTAGGTTTCCCCTCAATTGGTCTCTTATATTCCTTTAATATCGTTCAAATTTTTAAAAGAACCCGTTCCTTGCCGATATCTTTAACACAGTTGGAAGAGAGCTTTTATACTACCATAAGTCTGAAAAGCCAACATATATAAAATAAATCTCGAAAGGAGGGCTCTTATTGAAATTTCTAATGTGTGCTTGTTTTACAAAAAATTATTGACATGGGTCTTCACTTTGACTGTACATATATCATGGATTACCTAAAAATGTTGCCAAGGACGAACATTCTTCTTTTTTACTGTTTTTTTTTAGGTTGTATCATTACTAAGACACCACTTTTTTAATCTAATCTAACCTTGCCTTGAGTCCTAAGACTTTATTTTATTTTCTTTCTTTCGTACTCTCTCTAGCTAAAAATTCCATTTGCTGTATCATTTAACTTGAGAGCTCGTGATTTAGTGGTAGATATTCAAAAGAAAACCCTTAAGGTTGGTCTAAAAGGTCATGAACCCGTCATCAATGGTCAACTGTGTGCTGAGGTAAAAGTTGAAGATTCATTATGGGTATTACAGGACAGCAAAACAGTACAAATAACATTGGAAAAGGTAAGTTCTCTTGATAGACAATATTTTATAATACATTTGAAATTATTTTCAATGTTTTTTTATTTAAAGGTCAACAAAATGAATTGGTGGGATCGTTTGGTAATGACAGATCCACCAATTTCAACACGTAAAATAAATCCTGAACCTTCCAAGCTGTCCGATCTGGAGGGTGAAACCCGCAGTTTGGTAGAGAAAATGATGTACGATCAAAGACAAAAAGAAATGGGTTTGCCTACCAGTGATGATCAAAAGAAAATGGAAATATTGGAACAGTAAGCTGAACAAAACTTATGTTGTTTATATGTATTTTTAATTCTTATTTTCAATTTTATTTAGATTCAAAAAACAACATCCTGAATTGGATTTCTCCAAATGTAAATTCAATTAAAACTTACTCTGCTGTATGCCTGTGAGAGTGTTGATACAGTAGTAGTAGTACAAATTATTGTCCTTATCTGCCCACTAGACAGCAACTGTCAAGGACTCTCTCAAATCTGTATTTACTGACGTAGTTTTAATATTACCCCCTCCCCCACTATTTTTATTGTGCTTACTTTGATATTAACATTTCCTGTATTTATCATCTTTTCGGTCTACTGAAGACATTTTTCCTCTTTTTAATATTAGCATTTCTTTATAATAAATATTGTGTTTTTTTTTTGTAATTTAAATATACAATTATTTTAAATAATTATATATTTTGAAAAATATATTATGAAGATGTAAGATAAGAATGAAAAGTATAGAGTTCTTTATGGATTACTTTCTATGTCTGATGTTTCTTAACCGGCATTCAACCACAATAGAATACTTTGTATTTAGACTTCCACTGATAAACCTAAATACTAAGATAGTAAGACCATTCGAACAGCCTATGACGACTGCTGTTAGTAAACCCGATTTAAAAGTAGCCTTACTGTGAATTCGATATCAAACATATTTGATCCAAAATGTGTATATTCCCATTTATGATTGATGAAAATCAAAATTTTGTTAGAAACAGCTGGGGTTTAACTCCAATATTTGATATTTAGTTGTTTTCATCAAAATGTTCAATATAATCAAGCTAAAATATCGATTTCGATGAGTGAATCAAGCATCAGAAAATCCAGCGGGAGTGGTAAAATGAAGTACTAGTAGAAAAAGTGACTTCTGAAGTGTTTTCTACTTTGGAACCGATATGATAACATTGTGGATCAAGGTTAAATTGCGCTCCTAAAATAAAGGATGTAGTTATAGTCACGTTAAAAGGCATAAGGGTTACTGGTCTGTAGATGATTACTAGTTATTTTGATCTACGGTTCGTCAGTTAATTTCTAGAAACCATATTGTTCTTGAAGTCCGATCATTGGGCAGGGTTCCCCCTATTGAAGTTCGGAAAGGATGCCAGAAAAATCGAATCGTACATATTCGTGGGGGTCTACAATAGAGCAGGGAAACTTTAAATTTAGTGGAAGCTGAAGTAGTAAAATAATTTACGACCTATCGAGAATCAACGACGGTCGGATAAAACGGCTGAAGCTAGAATATTGAAATTTTGCTCGAGAGCCAGTCTGGGTGCGTAGGCGTGTAATAAGGCTGGAAGTACTAAATCGAAAAGTACTAAATGGTACAATAGTACTTGGAAAAGTACTTGGTGTCGGTGAATGAGAGAAGCAGTTGTTTAGATATGCGTACTATAATTGTGCCAAATTATACAACATTTGTTATGAGTGAATGTATAGAGCCGGAATCCCGAAATACGATATTGAGGTCTCTGTGGGTATCTGGTGTTGATTTTGAAAATGCATGCTATAATTGTTGAAATTTGACTTGGCTGAAGTTATAGAGATAGAATTCTGAAATTAGATATTTAGATAATTGTTGGTATCTGTAATTGAGATATAATAGCGGTAATAAATTATAATTGTAATAAATGATACAAAATTTGGTAATGGGGAAGTTAAAGAACTGAAATCCTGAAATTTTTTATTAATGGCACTGTTGGGGTCTGTGGTTGAGATGTGTAGATTGTTTTGCAAATGCGTTCTATATTTGTTCGAAAAGTACTAACCGGTACTAAATTGGGTATTGAATGAATGTTCAGCGATTTTATCTACATATTTGATATTGAGGCCTCTGTTGATATTTGGAGGTTGTTTTGCAAACCGAATGTATAAAATATATCTATATAATGACGTGGAACTGCATAGGCAACTTTTGTCATAAGAAATGAAAAAATCGGTAAGTAATGTCCCTGAAATATTAAAAATACCGAATATAAGGAGGTACCATTATATGGGGGCTATACCAAAATGAGGACCTGCACAGACAATTTTCTGTCATTGGCTGTAGTATCCGTTACGAACTTCAAATACTAAATTTGAAACAATTCCTGTGAATAATGTCGCTAAAATCATCAAAATACCGAATATCGGGAGGTGCCGTTATATTGGGGTTATACGAAGGCGTGGACCTGCGCGAACAATTTTCTATCATAGGCTATAGTATCCATTACAAACTTCAAATACAGAATTTGAAACATTTCCGTTGAGTACTGTCGCTTAAATCGCCAAAATACCGAAAATAGGGGGGTGCCATTATATGGGGGCTTTACCAAAACGTGGACAAGTACATAACCCATTTTCAATACCAAAAGTCCTGCAGATATAAAATACATTTGTGTGTAATTTTTTCAATCTACTTCATTTTGTTCGTTTTCGTCAACGACACGTGCTTTTTTACCTTCCTCCTTCTTTGTAAAACAATAAAAAAAGAAATCGCAATTTTCAATTTATATATGAATTATATTTATTTTATTAAACATATCACAGGGATAAACAATTATAATTCTTTAAATTTAATAATAATATTTATCAGCTTATAATTAGTTGTTTAAAATTTATTAACAAATACATGTGGGATACATATAAATTGCACAAACAGAGCATTACTTCTTGTGATCTATATAGCAAATAACATTGCAAAATTTTGAAAAAAAAAGAACTAAAGATTTTCTTAACTGACAATTAACAAACAAATTCGTAAAGTTCACTAAAATTTATAGCTTGTTTCTAAAAATAAAATTGTAGATTTGTGAAAACATGTTGTTCGTTGTTTGAAACATTTAAAATGAAAAACTAAACTCTAAAACAAAAGGGGATTTCAGTTTTAAATAATATTAATAAAAAAAATAATAATTCTGACTCTTGATTTCGCATTTTGCACAAACGAATTATAAAAACATTTATAAAAAAAGATATTTAATGATTTTATGATAGATTGTTTTTAAATGAAATGGTAACTAATATTACAACTAAAAAATTATTAAATATTTGTATACTTAAAAGCTATGTATTAATGAATGCTGCATAATGAGAGGTGTGTGTATGTGTGTGATCTCTTGTTGTTAGCCTTAATGTTATGAATAAATGATAATTGTTTTAATTTTATTTATTGTGATTAATAGATTTGTTTGTTTTTCCTTCTCAAAAAAAAAAAGATGATCACAATTCTTTGCTTGTGTAATGTTTTAATAAAATGCTTACAAAAAGAAACATTTCACGTTTCCCTTGTCTTTTGCTAAAAGGAGGGAGACATTTTGTAATCTCTTGTATACCATTGTTTTCTCTTTCTTTACTCTTCGAATTGAGAAATGACATAGAATGCTATGAATGTGTGAGAGTTTCATTGATTTTTTTCTTTCGATAAAAATTACACATAAAATGATTGTATTATAATTAAGAAAAATAAATAACTTACAATACTAAAATATACGAATATTCAATTAACAATTTTTGTTTTTTGTAATTTTTTATATAAATATAAATTAATAATTGTTTTACTATCAGCTGCATAAACAGCTATAAATTGTTCTCTCTTAAGAGTTTTTCTTTTGATTTTTGCTCTCTTAAGAATCCACTGCCTCTCTTGAGAATTGTACTTCTTCTCTGCCATTGAACAGGAGAAGTTATTTTGAAAATGTTCTATTTGGGGGAGAGGTAAACTCTTTTATACAGCAATTTTGTGGAAATGTAGTTAACTTTGAGGCATTTCACGGGCCCGCACTGAAAAGAGGAAATGTAAATAATTTATTTAGAATTAATTAAATATATATATTTTAAAACTATGTAAATGGAAAGAAAGTCGGCAGAAGGTAATGAAAAGAAGGCAAAAGGTGGGAATAAAAAGAAGATTTTTTCTGGCATAAGAATTTGCGTTAATTAGATCTGGTGGATTAATCGTGTGTGTTTAGGAAGACCGAAGTGCTGTGAATTCAATATATATTTTTTATACCCTCCACACATACATAGTATGGAGAGAGTATTAAGCTCGTCATTCCATTTGTAACTCATCGAAGTAATAATTTTAGACTTAATGAAGTATATATATTCTTGATAGGCGTAACATTCTAAGAAAATTTAGCCCTGTCCGTCGGTCTGTTGTAATCATTGTTAATTATTAGCTTCGTATATACGTTGGGACAAATTTCATATTTAAAAATAATTGAAATAAATCTTAGAAGACAAAGTCAACAAAATTGATGTTAATTTTCTCTAAAATGTTCTCTTTTACGGACTCTTGTGCTAGCACACAGTTTTGAGCAGTGCTGCGCTAGTGTCAATACGAATTAAGATAGGAAGCTAAAATTCTGCACAGACCAGTCTTTTGTCTGCAGGCGGGTCAAATTCGAAGATAGGCTATATCGGTCCACGATATCATATAGCCCCCATATAACGGTACCCCGATAATCGGTATTTTGATGATTGTAACCAAATCTTTGAATAGAATTGTCTGGAAATCCACACAATGAGTTCTTTCTAGGTAGTTTACCCCCTGGAAGCCAATTGTTTATATAGGTCCACGATATCGTATATCCTCCATACAATGGTATCTCAATATATTCGGTATTTTGATGATTTTAGGCACATTATTTACCGGAATTGTTTCAAATTTCGTATGCAGAGTTCTTAACAGCCTGTGACATGAAATTATCTATGAAGGTACAGATCTTCGTATAGCCCCCATGTAACAATACCTCCCCATATTTCGTATTTTGACGATTTTAGCGACATTATTCACTGGAATTGTTTCATATTTGAAGTTCCTATGCGGTACTACTGTCTATGACATATAATTGTTTATGCAGGTTCAGGTCTTCGTATAGCGCCCATATATCGGTACCTCCTTATATTCGGTATTTTTACGATTTTAGGTACAATATTCATATTTAAAGGTCGTAATGGGTATTGCAGCCTGTGACAGAAAATTAAAAAAAAAAATTATGCAGGTCCAAATCTTCGTATAGGCCCCATGTAACGGTACCTCCCTAAATTCAGTATTTGGATGATTTTAACTATATTATTCACCGGATTTTTTTTAAACAAACAAACAAACGATGCCTCTTTTACGCGACATCTTTGGTGAAAGAATAATTTCGCGTAGAAGCAATTTTTATTGGCCTCCACGTTTCCTGGATTTAACCCCTCCAGACTGTTTCTGTTGTAGTTAAGTTTATGTTAATAAGCCTTGGACTATTGAGGAATTAAATTCCAATATTTGAGACGAAATTAACAACATAACACCTGAAGTTTTACGAGGGGTCATGGAAAATGTTTTGAAAAGAGCACATTGGCGGGATATCATTTTTAATAACAGATCTTAAAATTTACTTTATGTAAAAAAATATTTCTGAAATAAAAAGAAATTCACACCACTTCGATCATTCTGGACCACCCTGTATATTTATGGACGACATATCGAGAAAAATAAAAGATATATGTCTGAACTTACTTTCCAACGCGTACACCATGCCCATTATTAGCAAGAGAAATATTGTACTCATACTAATAATTAATACCGTCACTTGGCGTCCACGATCGCACAGACCCTTTTTGGTCTTCTTATTGGCACCAGCCTCTCCATTAACCATGGTGAAATGCATTGAGCTTGCTATGGACACAGTGTCCAAATCTTTGGTTTTAATAAAATTCAAATTGGGATCAATGTCGATGGCAGTGTGTTTTCCGTCCGCCATCCCCTTGCCGGCGGCAACATTATCCGGTTGATCCACATCTGCAACATATTCGCCCGAAACAGTGGCCAATTGATACTGATGATACTGGTGGTCACCAGCTCGGCTGGTGGCATGTAACAAATTTGCACTATAAACTGAGCTGGGTGCAGCAGCAGCAGCATTTGTGTGTGTGTTGCTGTTGTTGTTGTTGTGACGGGAATGTTGTTGTTTCTCTTGCTTGCGTTGAATTTCGGTCATGCGTTCTAAATTTGCTGCTGTCAACAGCAAAGAACCAGATGCCGCACTCTGTAAAAACAATAGCATTTGAGACTAAGTGACATATAGATGGCGCTGGAACTTACTCTTGTACTATTATTACTATCACTACTGCCCTGGGAGGACCTCGAACCTCTCTTATTGCCAATTATGTGAGTGCCGGCAGCACTAACAGCATGTGCATGAGAAGGAGAATGGTGATGATGATGATGATGATATGAACTCATTTCACTATTACGTCTACTGCCACCGCCGCCTGCTTGATTACTCTTCTGATGATGTCTTTGTACTGGGTGATCATCGTAATATTGTGGCATTGTTTGTTGTTGTTGTTGTGGCTGCCGATAGTGTGTGGGTGTCAGCTTTGATGTGTTCACCGATCTATGGCTGCGTTGGGTTGATGATGCCGATGACACAGCAGATGATGCGGAGGATGGTGAGAGTGAGGCTCGTGGTATGTGCCAGTAATCATTCATCTGGAAATGAAAAAGAAATAGAAAAAAAAAAACCCGAGGTAAGAAATAATGTTTTTATATTTTGAAAAAAAAAAGAGAATCGTGAAAAAATGTAGCTGCTTTGTTATTTTTAGATTAAAGGTATTAATGATATTAATTAGGAAAAATAATTAAAAAAAAAAAATAAAATAAAAAATAACAAACACAACCCCCGCAAAAAGAGACACACATTTACTTTTGCCACCGACAAACAAACCAGACGAAAATCATGGGTGTGTTTTAGTGTTTTAGCTTGTATTTTCAGCAATTCATGCTTGTAATATTATCATCGGATGTGTGTCTTTTGGTCTCCAATTTGTTGTTTCTTTATTTAAGTACCATTTTTCTTTGATTTGTGTTTTTATTTTTGTTTTTTTTTTTTTTTTGTCTCTTCCCATCTTAAAAAGATGTTGTTGATTTAAGACTTGCTTCTTAAGTTATTTGTTTATTCTCATTAAAGATGTTATTTTTTAATGTGTATAATTTAATTCTATTGAAGGTCTACCTCAATACAAGGGAAGGCGGATTGGAGTTACTTAATCAGTGAGCTGGTCTCTTGCTTTTTACTCGAAATCACAACTCTTTATCCGTGTACGTAATAAATACTTCGCACACACTTTTGAGTGCGGTTGAGGTGCTGGTAAAATTTAATAATTAAAAATAACCAGTAAAGAAAGTCCTAAAGTCGGGCGGGGCCGATTTTATGATACCCTACACCACTTTGCTAATTTAGTTGAGCTGCACATAACAAGTAAAAGTTTTTATGGGAGAATTCAATCATACACCCTATGATTATAATTATAATTTAAAATTTAAAGGACTAAATCTGTATCTTTTAAATTCGGACTTGTATTGCCCATTTGGTGCAAGATTAATTCTAAATCAGATAAAGATATATATGGGAGCTAAATCCAAATCTGAACCGATCTCGATAAAATTTGGCAAAGATATTTCTGAGCTGTATTTGATATATTTCCCTGAATATCGTTGTTACGCAGTGCATATTACGGCTGTGGGTAACAAATACAACAAATCGGATGAACAATATATATGGGAGCTATAGCTATATCTGAACCGATCTTCACCAAATTTTGCATACTACCTTCTAGACTCAATTCGGTCGTATGTGCCAAATTCCATCCCATTTGGACAAATATTAGACGTTTGGTGCACAATAAAAGGTAAATCGGATGAAGTTATATATGGGAGCTATATCCAAATCTGAACCGATCTCGATAAAATTTAGCAAAGGTATTTCTGAGCTGCATTTGATATATTTCCCCAAATATTGTTGTTACAGAGTGCATATTACGGCTGCGGAGGACAAAAATAACAAATCGGATGAACAATATATATGGGAGCTATAGCTATATCTGAACCGATTTTCATCAAATTTGGCATGCTTATTTTTAGGCCTAATATGGGTGTATATGCAAAATTCCATACAATTCGGGCTGATATTACACGTTTGGTGCACAATAAAAGGCAAATCGGACGAAGATATATATGGGAGCTATATCTAAATTTTTACCGATTATCTCCAATTTCAATAGGGTTCGTCCTTGGGCCAAACAAATGTTGTTTGGAAAATTTCATCTCAATCGGATAATAAATGCGACCTGCATTTTGTTCACAAAAATACATGGACAGACGGACGGACGGACGGACAGACGAAATAACATGCATTTCCTTTTGCCTGTTACAAACAAATGCACAAAGACATAATACCCTGATCACCTTGTGGTGTAGGGTATAAATATTCTAAAATTTCATATGTCCCAGCTGCCATAAAATATCGCATACAATAATGTGTAAGATAATAAAGGTTATTATCGACACACACAAAAAATTTGTCTTCGTATAGCCTTCATATAACGGTACCTACCGATATTCGGTACTCTGAAAATTTTAGCCACATTAATCAGCCGAATTGTTTAAAATTTTGTATTCGAAGTTTGTAGTGGGTACTACAACTATGTGCCTAAGAATTTCGTGTACAGGTCCACGTTTTCGTTTAGCCCCATATAACGGTGTCTACCGATATTCGGTATTTTGATGATTTTAGCGATTTAATTCACCCGAATTGTTTTAAGTTTCGTGTTCGAAGTTTGTAATGGGTACTACAGCCTAAGCATAAAATTTTCCTATGAAGGTCCACGTCTTCTTATGGCACCCATATATACCGATATTCGGTGTTTGGCACGGAATTGTTCAAAAAATGGTATTTGTAGTTCATAATGGGTTCTAGCTACTGTGGCGGAAAATAGTACCGAACATAGTCCACGTTTTCGTATATCCCCCACATAATGGTAACTCCGAATATTATGCATTTTGATGATTTTTGCCACATTTTTCCAAGGATTTGTCTAAAAATTGGTATTTGTAGTTCATAATGGGATCTAGCTCCGGCGACCACATAAATAAAGGAGAAGGGTTGTTACAAAGGTCTGTCGAGGCAATTTAAATGTAAGACCAGAGGGAAATAGCCGAAGGGATTAGACTGAATAAAAAACGCATAAGGACAGGAATAAATAACAGAACATTTTTAGCTATGACCGATAAGGATGAAGCCAATGGCATTTAATTGGGCGAATCAACTGACCGAAATAAATTGATAGAAAATGATTTTAAGGCAGTTGAAGACCATGGAAGAAGAACCCGATAAGAAGATACCTAGATCTGGAAGTTATGTTGGAGCAGCAGAATATAAAACTGAAAACCATCTGGAGACAGGAGCTTTGAACGAGAATACATTTTTAGTGTGGAGGAAGTAACACTCGAAGCTAAAGAGTTTTCTAAAATTGTATTTTTTGCCTTTGTCGACCAAAAATTGGCGACTCCAACAAGCTGTGGAAAAGATGCAAAATTTGATATTACATGCCCCTGCGATGATAAAAGAGAAGCTGAAAGAGGAAAATCGAATCAACTTCCCAAAATAAATTGTTAGATGATGATTGGAAGGCTAATAATAGGCTGAAAATATAGAGGTTTTAAGGCTTCAAAACTTGGTGCAGTCTTTGCTCGATAAATTTGGAAGAGACCTTCTGACCATTGAAGAAGAAGAGTCCGAGAAGAAACAGCGTTACCTGGAAAAACATGTTCTATATCTGGAAGCTAATTTAGAGAAGCAGAATAGAAATGTGGAAACCAAGAGGGAAAGAATCGAATTAACAATTAAAACATATGATAAATCTGGCAAATTATTCAGAGTATGATGTTATAGCCTTAAGCCAGGAGGATCTAGTGCCTAGTCAACCACGCTTATTGTGACCTACATTCTTTGTGGTTGCCGAATCTGTTGGGCGCCATCACAAAAGTTTCACATTTCTCAGGAGGCTTTTATAGCCTCCACCATAGTATGGAGGCTATATTAAGTTTGTCATTCCGTTTGTAACACCTCGAAATACACATTATAGACCCCACAAAGTATATAAATTCTAGATCAGCATAAAACTCTATGTCGATTTAGCGATGTCTGTCCGTATGTCGAAATTACTCTAGCTTCCGAACGAAATGAAATAGTTTGATAAAATCTTACTTAAATGTATATTATGTCTACAGGACTTTTGGTATTGAATATGGTCCAAGTAGGACCACGTTTTGGTATAGCCCCCATATAATGGTACCTCCCTATTTTCGGTATTTTGGTGATTTAAGCTACTTTATTCACCGGAATCGTTTCACATTTGGCATTTAAAGTTCGTAATGGATACTACAGCCTATGACAGAAAATTGTCTGTACAGATCCAAGTTTTGGTATAGACCCCATATAATGTCACCTCCCTACATTCGGAATTTTGATCATTTTTGCCACATTTTTCAATGGAATTGTCTAAGAATCCACGCAAGGAGTCCTCGTGAAAACTTTATCCCCTGGAAGAGAATTATCTATATAGGTCCACGATATCGAATATCCCCCATATTACAGTACCTCCCTATATTGCGTATTTTGAAAAATTGTTTCAATGGTTTTAGAATTTAAAGTTCGTAATGGATACTACAGCCTAAGATTTAAAATTGTCTGTGCAGATCCACGTTTTGGTATAACCCACATATAATGGCACCTTCTTATATTCGGTATTTTGATGATTTTACCTACATTATTCAGCGTTTTTTTTTCAAATTTCGCATTTAAATATTGTAGTGGCTTATGACAAAAGTTGCCTATGCAGGTCCACGTCGTCGTATAGACCTTAAAGTATAACGGCTACATTCGGTATTTTTAAGATTTTTACAAAATTTTCTTAATAAGTTTTATTTTTTTTTGAAAATTTCCAAATTCGTTCCAAATGGTGGGGGGGTGTTCAAAGTTCGGCCCAGCCGAACTTACAGCTTTATTACTTGTTTATTAATAGAAACCTGTTAAGTGGATTTCTATTTGAAGATGGATTTGTAACGCCCAAAAGTCATGCTTTCGTTTTTGGGGTACATTATTATTGTTCCCTAGTAGAAAGAAGTATACTTAAAATACAACATTGGAACCCCTGGTGGCAAATGGCGGAACTACGCAAAACTGTCAGATTGGGATCAGCTGCTGTCATGAGAAAACAACAATCGTTGTCCAGCCAAAAAGGTATAAAAGGAGACGCATTTCACCCAATCGGGATCAGTCTTCTGTTGATGGCTGGTAAGTCAAGTGTGATTGGGAGGAAGAAAAGGCGCGCAACCTCGGTTGAATTGAGTCTTAGTAAGCCAAACAATAAGCCTTGACTATTTGTGGTGACTGGACTGGACTGAACGCAGGGTCAAGTGAGGGTTGTAGCAATACTCCCTATTCTTCGGGCTGCGTTGACGGCGACTGAACGCAGGGTCAAGTGAGGGTTGTAGCAATACTCCCTATTCTTCGGGCTGCGTTGACGGCGACTGAACGCAGGGTCAAGTGAGGGTTGTAGCAATACTCCCTATTCTTCGGGCTGCGTTGACGGCGACTGAACGCAGGGTCAAGTGAGGGTTGTAGCAATACTCCCTATTCTTCGGGCTGC